TCAACTCTCCCATCTTCGGGGACCGCACTGGAAGCTCTCAAACCCGAAACTATAGACCGATGAGGATTTCTCGAACTCGAACCGACAACATCTTCAAACACCTTTCCACGGCGAGTACTTGGCTCCCCGGGAACTAGTGTGCCCCCATTGCTGCACGAAGGAAGCAATCCATCGAGATTGCGCACGTCCTCCTCCGTTAAGTCTCCGAGAGTCTCTTCGGAACCACTGAAGCCACGCCAGGCGGCGTGAGTCCCACCATAATCATCCGCAAATCCACGTTCAAGTTGGCGATAGTCGTCTCTTTGTAGCTCGTCCGGAACGCCATCAAACGGATCGACTCCACCGACATGATTTCCCGCGAACTGAGACATCGATACCTTGCAAAAGTAACCAAGGACCGTATCAAAATCTAGAAGTCGAGAAGTGTCTCAAAACTTTCGTATCCCGCCAAATCCATGGTTTCGAATTCCGGTCAGAAGCCAACTTTTCACAAAACCAACGAGCGATCAAACATTACGAGAGATGAGACGAGACGAGTCCGGAAACACGACAACCTTGACACAACACCACATTCGTCATATTTCGGCATTGGCGCGGCGAGAGACGAGACGTGACGAAATTGGCATGACGGTTCGAACTGAACTCGATGAAGTTCCGGCTCGGTAACACGACCCCATCGCGATCCCTTCGACGCCATTTCGCCACGCCAAGTATCGCCGCGGCCAAGACTTCACAACGACCCCGGCATTTTAAAAGATCATTGACCAAGTCCCGCCGCAGCCGGATCATATATTCTATCTCGTCACAACTTCTCCAAGACAAAGCAACGGGCGCGGCCACCTCATCTTCCGGCACGGCAGCTCCGTCGCGGCACAAAGTTTACGCACCCCCGTCATGGCCCATCTCGGCGGCGCGGCCCAGTTCCAACGGCACCAACATTCCACCTCGGCAATGAAGGCTCGGCACGACACCGTCTCCCTTTGTCGCACTTTGCCACGATGCAATCACCTCTCATCTCGGAAGCGACTCACCGCAGCCCGTCTCGACGACGCCTCATTTCGACGGTACCTCATTCCGGAAGCCCCGCCGCGGCACGGCTCCAACCTCGGTCCATCGAAAACTCGCCACGGCACTTGGAGCTCGCCACGGGAACACCTCGCTACGGCGCTAGGAGCTCGCCGCGGCAACACGTCGCCGCGACCAAAAACCGCCATAGCTTCGACACGACGGACTCACACGGCATTTCAACTCCGATCTAGATCAAAAGCAGCCCGTTTCGGAAGAAACTCACCTCGGCGCCGTGTCGTCAAACTAAAGGTCTACCACGGCCAAGGCATTAACCACGCCGCCTCATCACGGCACAGCCCCGGCCTCGCCCAACAAGCTCGTCTCCGTCCCGCCTCGTCACGGCGCAGCCCCGACCTCGCCCAAACAAGCTCGTCTCCGTCCCGCCTCGTCACGGCGCAGCCCCGACCTCGCCCCATCGCAAGTCCGTCTCGGCAGCGTCGCGTCAACCCTTCGTCACGACCCCGCTGCGGCACGGCGTTAAAGCACCAAGATCCGCCGAGATCAAGTTCGCCACAGTATCATCACGCTTCCGCTGGTCTCAGGACGGCGAGCTCGCCGTGGATCTAGAGCGGAGAGGACAATCCGAACTAGGCAAGAGGGAGGAGCTCGAGGCTCTTTGCGCTTTGAACCCCGAAGTCAAGACAAGTTGAAGAGGAGAGATATTGTTGTTGCTTGATAAGCTTCAATGTGGGAAGAAAAATCCGAGAGAAAATCCAAGCCAAACACAAATCGTAGACCACATGACAACAAAACAAAGAAGATTCGAAGAAAGGAGCATACGACCAAACCAAATCAAAATTAAAACAAAGAAGAAGAGAGAGAGAAAGAGGAGAAAGATTTTACCTTTTTACCGAGAGGAGGAAGCCAAAGAGTAAAAAAAATAGCAAGGGGACATATATATAGTGGGGGACCCAGCGCGTTTACCGAGGTAAAAACACATGACCTAAATTTCACCATACACCTAGCTCCCGTGCCTCGTGAAGCGTGCCAAGTCACTATTCATCCCGAGAATGATCCGATCTTCTCGGAAAACGTGCCAAGTCACTATTCATCCCGAGAATGATCCGCTCGCCTCGTGAAGCGTGCCAAGTCACTATTCATCCCGAGAATGATCCGCTCTTCTCGGAAAACGTGCCAAGTCACTATTCATCCCGAGAATGATCCGCTCTTCTCGGAAAACGTGCCAAGTCACTATTCATCCCGAGAATGATCCGCTCTTCTCGGAAAACGTGCCAAGTCACTATTCATCCCGAGAATCATCCGCTCTTCTCGGAAAACGTGCCAAGTCACTATTCATCCCGAGAATGATCCGCTCTTCTCGGAAAACGTGCCAAGTCACTATTCATCCCGAGAATGATCCGCTCTCTCCGAGAAACGCGCCAAGACATCACAAGAAGATTTGAAGCTCTAAGTATGCAGCAAGGCAATTCAAAGTCTCCGCAAACTTGCCCATCTTGTTTTACGACCAACTAGCCTACGCCCAGAACCAGCCCGTCAAGCTCAAAAGGATTCTCGCAAATCGGACTAAAGGGGGGGGACTATTGTTGGATATGGGCCTTGCCCCTTCCAAGTTAGAAGGCCTATAAAACAAGATGTGTCAATTAATGAAGCCTTTCACCCAAAAACAGGCCCAGCACCTTCGCAGGGGTAAAATCGTCATTCGCCAAGGAGACACAAAGAGCTTCTAGGTTTCTGCGCCACTATAAATACATTAAACAACTGTTTGGAACAGGGATGGGTCCAGAGGTTATTATCCACCAGACTGAGAATCGTGCCGCGCCCGAACTCGCCCTAGCCCGAGATTCCCGCCGCGACTCTCTCTCTCGTGATTTTGCACTTCTGTTTCGTATTAGGTTCTCAGCTCGGCAGATAGTCTTTAACTGCCGCAGCGAGACTTCTCTCTTTGTAACTTCGGATTTTCCGCAAAAGCTAATAAAGAAAACTGTTTCGTATCGTCCCAAAAATCTCGTATCATTATTGTAGTTGCTCCCCCCTTGCACAAACAGTTACTTCCAATTCAAAGCCCAATAAGAGTCCATACGGACCCAATTGGATCCTGTAACGGAAGGAACAGAGTGACATTGAACTGTATGCAAGATTACTGTAAACATGCACATGGTCAAAATTCAAAACCAGTTTTGCAATTGCAGGTGATGACTAGAGACTATAGGTATATTGGTTACATATTTAGGTTTAGAAAAAATAAAATGATATGACGTATAGGAGGAGAGTCGAGGAAAATAACTAAAAAGGTTTGTAACAAAGAATTTAGGAAGTAAAAGTTAAGTGGAAGTTAGGTTCATTCACATGCTAAAACATGTGATCTCTTTTTTTGACTAATTAAACTCAAAACTATAATTAATTTAACAACGAGATATAATTAATCAACTACTTTCTGTTCCTTGTGATTGCGTGAAAAATGTGAGAGGTGACGTACGTATGTCTTCTTGTGGATGCATTGCGTGTTTAATGTTTACCTTCTTTTACTTCTAGAATACGACGTTACTACCACCGACTTCATTCATCGATCATATGCTAATTTTCGAGATGTTTACCCACACACACACAAAAAAAACGAAAAACAAAAACAAAAAAGCTAGATTGGTTAATTATAAGGATTTTCACATTTAAATGATTTATGAAATGTATCATATCTATGTTTTCTAATCTTTCTAATGATTTTTGAAATGCTTTCTAACACAAAAATCAGAGACACTATTTTTAGTGATTAATAAGTTCCCGAAATAAATAAGGAGATTTAATTAGTTTTGAGTGGTGAATAAATATGCAAAAGAGGATTTAGATTGATGCATGCAGCTTCAAACAAATTAAAAAATGTTCCTTGTTTTTCAAGCATCTTCACTACTCTCTCTAGCTAGTCCCTTTAAAACCCCGAAACAATTCACTACTTATCCACTCAACTCAACCCTCTCTTTTAAGTTTTTTCACTACATTCAAAGAGAAAATGAAGATGCTTACAATGTTGATGAGCTTTTTGGTTCTTTCCGGATTCTACGCCGGCACCGTTGGGACCGGTCAGCCTCTTGTACCGGCTTTGATCATAATGGGAGATTCAGTTGTAGATGCCGGTAACAACAACCGTCTCGGTACCCTCGTCAAGGCCAATTTCCCTCCCTACGGACGTGACTTCTTCGCCCACAATGCCACCGGCCGTTTCTCTAATGGAAAACTCGCCACCGACTTTACCGGTTCAAACTATATATATTCACGTTGTAGTACCATGCATCTTTCACTTCCTTTTGCTCAGGCTTTGTTCTTTGTTGTTTGAGCAGCTGAGAGTTTAGGCTTCACTTCTTACCCGGTGGCGTACCTTAGCCAAGATGCAAATGGGACAAATTTGTTAACCGGGGCCAATTTCGCCTCTGGTGCTTCCGGTTTTCACGACGGAACTGCCCTATTATACGTAAATTAACATCCTTGACCCGGTTTGATCCGGCTATTAAGTTAGTTAACCAGGGAATGCTTTAAACATTTTGTGGTTTATCTCAATTTATAGAACGCAATCACATTGAACCAACAGCTGAAAAACTACAAGGAGTACCAAAACAAAGTCACCAACATGGTGGGAAGAGAAAGAGCAAACGAGATATTCTCAGGCGCGGTTCATCTTCTAAGCACGGGATCAAGCGATTTTCTTCAAAGCTATTACATCAATCCGATCCTTAACCGGATTTTCACGCCTGATCGATACTCAGATCGTCTCATGAAATTCTATACCACCTTTGTCCAAGTAACTTAACCAACACCATATCGTGCATTTTCTTTTTAATCTCTCAGTTTACTCTGATATATGATGAACCCATATGCATGATTTTTCTTTTTGGGCAGAACTTGTATAATTTAGGGGCTAGAAGGATAGGAGTGACGACGTTACCGCCGTTGGGATGTTTACCGGCGGCGATAACGATGTTTGGTGGAGCCGGGGACAATGCATGCGTTGAAAGACTAAACCAGGACGCGGTGTCCTTCAATACCAAACTCAACAACACTTCTATGTCCTTAACAAACATGCTTCCCGGTCTGAAATTGGTCGTCCTCGACATCTATAACCCTCTCTTAAGCATGGTCATGAACCCTGTCGAGAATGGTACGATTTTTTTTATAACACACCGTGGACATGCAACTTTATTTGACAGCTAAATAATCACCTACACTTGAATATAGGTTTCTTTGAATCAAGAAGGGCTTGTTGTGGAACCGGAACAATGGAAACTTCGTTCCTGTGCAACGCAAGATCGGTCGGTACATGTTCGAATGCTACGAGTTACGTGTTTTGGGATGGCTTTCATCCATCCGAGGCAGCCAATCGTGTTATCGCAAATAATCTTATCCTCCAAGGAATCCCTCTTATCTCTTGAACCTAAGTTTATTCCGTAACATTGAATCCAAATGATATGATGAAAATATCTTAGATTATATATCTGAATGAATGGCTGGGTATATTATTAACATAAAATTTGCCTTTCTACCTTTTTATATTTTCTTTAAATTATCCATATCCATCGTTTGTCTTATGTAACGTTTTTAGTTACATCGAAATCAGTTAATGTTACTAATTTTTGTATAATCAGTTATGGAGATATTTTATCAGATCAATAAATTAGGGCGAAATGTGTATACATTAACTAATATAGGGACTAAATTAAATTTCTCCATTACAAAAATTGGTTTCTCTTCTGAAGTAAAAGAGGACAAAGTAAAAAGGTTTATCATCCATGGCGATTTAGCGCCCGAGCGCTTCTCTAATCTTATTCATGTCCACCGTTAATCATCACTGCCTCCTGAATCTTCCTCATATCCCACCTTCAATTCCTCCGAACCGTCGCTCGAAACTTCATTCCTCTCTCTCGCTCTATCGAAAACCAGAACGCCTCTGTTCTCTCTCTGCGTCTCTGTCTCTTTCACCAGTAAACATCAATGAGTGTTCTTCTTCTTCCTCCTCATCTTCATCGTTTGAGAAGAAAGAAACGGAAGAGATTGAATCTATTGTTGATGGGTTTTTCTATCTGCTTCGCTTGTCTGCTCAATACCACGACGTCGAGGTTACAAGAGCTGTTCACGCTTCGTTTCTTAAGCTCAGAGTAGAAAAACCCCGTCTTGGAAATGCCCTTATCTCTACTTATCTCAAACTTGGCTTCCCTCGAGAGGCTTTTCTCGTCTTCATGTCTATGACTTCACCGACGGTGGTTTCTTACACAGCTCTGATCTCGGGTTTCTCAAAATTGAACCTTGAAATTGAGGCTCTTAAGGTCTTCTTCAGGATGAGAAAAGCAGGTATTGTCCAGCCCAACGAGTATACCTTTGTAGCAATTTTGACTGCTTGCGCGAGAGTTTCGCGATTCTCGCTTGGGATTCAGATTCATGGATTGATTGTTAAATCAGGGTTTTTGAATTCTGTCTTTGTTGGCAATTCGTTAATGAGTTTGTACGCTAAGGATTCTGGGTCTTCGTGTAATGATGTGCTGAAGCTGTTTGATGAAATTCCTCACAGAGATGTGACTTCGTGGAACACTGTGATTTCGAGTTTGGTGAAAGAGGGAATGTCGGATAAAGCTTTCGGTTTGTTTTATGAGATGAACAGAGTCCAAGGACTTGGAGTTGATTGTTTTACGCTGTCAGCGCTTTTGAGCTCTTGCACTGATTCTGATGACTTATTGAGAGGCAGAGAACTCCATGGTCGTGCTATTAGAATTGGGTTGATGCAGGAATTGAGTGTGAGTAACGCTCTGATTGGGTTTTATTCTAAATTTGGGGATATTAAAAAGGTAGAGAGTTTGTACGACATGATGATGGTGCAAGATGCTGTTACTTCCACGGAGATGATCACAGCTTACATGGCATTTGGAATGGTGGATTCCGCTGTTGAGATATTCGAGAATATAACTGAGAAAAACACTATTACATATAACGCTCTCATGGCTGGGTTCTGTAGAAACGGGCATGGCTTAAAGGCACTGAGATTATTCACTGAAATGCTGCAGAGAGGTGTTGAATTGACGGATTTCAGTTTAACAAGCGCTGTCGACGCTTGTGGTTTAGTTTCAGAGAAGAAACTAAGCGAGCAAATTCACGCGTTTTGTATTAAGTTTGGATGTCTTTTAAACCCTTGTATCCAGACTGCATTGCTTGATATGTGCACAAGATGTGAAAGGATGTCAGATGCTGAGGAGATGTTTGACCAATGGCCTTCTAACCTCGATAGTTCGAAGGCAACGACGTCAATACTTGGTGGTTACGCTCGGGATGGCTTACCTGATAAGGCTGTATCGCTATTTCATCGCACTCTCTGTGAAGAAAAGTTGTTTTTAGATGAAATTTCGTTGACTTTGATTCTTGCGGTCTGTGGGACATTAGGGTTTCGGGAAATGGGTTATCAGATCCATTGCCATGCTCTTAAAGGTGGGTACTTTTCTGACGTAGGCTTGGGAAATTCTTTGATTAGCATGTACTCGAAATGTTGTGACTCAGATGATGCCATAAAGGTTTTCAACACTATGCAAGAACATGATGTTGTTTCTTGGAACAGTTTGATTTCTTGCTACATCCTTCAAAGAAATGGTGAAAAGGTACTGGCTCTATGGTTAAAGATGAATGAGGAAGAGATCAAGCCTGACATGATCACCCTCACTCTTGTTATTACTGCATTTCGGTATACAGAGTCAAATAAGCTTAGTAGCTGCCGTGATCTGTTTCTCTCCATGAAGTCTATTTATGACATTGAACCAATGACTGAACATTACACTGCATTCGTCCGTGTTTTGGGTCATTGGGGTCTACTTGAAGAAGCAGAAGACACAATAAACACGATGCCATTTCAGCCCGAGGTCTCTGTTTTGAGAGCTCTGCTTGATAGCTGCAGAGTCCATTCGAACACAAGCGTCGCGAAACGAGTAGCAAAGCTAATACTATCAACCAAACCTGAAACCCCGTCTGAGTACATCCTCAAATCCAACATCTACTCAGCTGCTGGACTTTGGCATCGCTCTGAAATGATAAGAGAGGAAATGCGGGAAAGAGGTTACCGGAAACATCCTTCTAGAAGCTGGATAATCCACGAGAACAAAGTACATTCCTTTCACGCGCGTGACACATCCCACCCGCGAGAGAAAGACATATACAGCGGACTGGAGATACTGATAATGGAATGTCTGAAAGCTGGATACGAACCAAACACAGAGTTTGTTCTTCAGGAGGTTGATGAGTTCATGAAGAAGAGTTTCTTGTTTCACCACAGCGCGAAACTCGCAGTGACTTATGGCATTCTTACGAGCGATACTCGGGGGAAGCCGGTTCGGGTTGTGAAGAACGTGATGCTCTGTGGTGACTGTCACGAGTTCTTCAAGTATATTTCAATTGTGGTAAAGAGAGAGATAGTTTTGAGAGATTCTTCCGGTTTTCATCATTTTGTGAATGGCAAGTGTTCTTGTAGAGATCGGTGGTGAATCAACCAAAACCATAGTCTTTGTGATGTTTCACTTATATAAGTTTGTAATTGTCCAAATCAAAAAAAAAGAAACGGAGGTTTATAAGTTGTTAAACGTTTTTGGGTTTGGATATGCTGGAAACTGATAGGAATTAGGATATGCTGGAAACTGATAGGAATTAAAAAGTTTGGGGTAAAAAGGGAAACCGAGAGAAGTTTTTTTGATTTATATACAAATTAATTATTTATTCCATCATAATAATTAATTTTCTTTCAGGTTTAGTAGAGAATAACACAATTGTTTTTTCAGTTTTTATTATGAAATCATATTTTTAATGCTAGTTTATATAAAATCATTTTTTTCATTCTTTCAAATCGTATATATTTATATTCTTACTATCCCCTCCCCACACACGTATTTTTTAAAACAGAGGTTCCTTTGTTTATATATTTTTGTTTTACAGAAAGTATAGTTTGTATTTCCAACATAATTTTACTAACGACAAACTCGATTTTAACTTTAGTTAATTAGAGAAAGGAATAACTTTAGTATATATTTGAAACAAATATGAGAGATATTTTGTACATTTTCTTTCGTATGTGAAAATAGTAAAGTGACATTCCTGGTGAAAGGAAAAAATATCAAATAACCGTTAACATTAATCAAAGCTACCGTTAATAAATTCCTAAACCTATAACAACAAAATCAAGATACGCTACATATCTTTACTTTATTTCGCAAGTATTTTCCAATTAATACATCGATTTTGACAAGGATCAATATATAACTAGAAAATTCTCCAATGAGTTATTAGTAAATGTTTTCAACCCGTTCTGTGAATGATGTCCGTAATTATATAATATTAGTTGTAAATGCGAGAGTTTGGATTTGGTCGAGGAAGGGTAGAAATTGATAGAAACAAAACGTTTGGGGGTGAAAAGAGAAATAAGAAGAAAGTTTGCATGTGAAAGAAAAGAGAAGAGTCGAAAGATGACGCTTGGCAAGAGGAAGCAACCACTTATTACCAAATGTTATTCTTCCATTCACCTTCTTTTTTATTTAATTTTCTTCTTTGCTCCTAAAACCGAAAGCAAAACAAACAATTTCGAATACAAACAAAAACTCTCTCTTTTGAAATTGATTATTTCTCCTTTAATCTCTTCATCAGTTTCTTCTCAAAAGAAAAGAGAGAGAGAGAGAGGGATGGGAGATGAAGACGTTGATGATCATGGCAAGCACTGTAGAAACATGTCTGCATGTTCCTCATCGTATTCTACTAAACTCTTTCTCTTCATGGTTCCTCTTGTCATTCTTGTTTCCTGTTTCGTCTTTGTAAATCTTGGTCCTAAAGATCCAACATCTTTGTTAACGTCTTTGTCGTCGTCCACTTCTCATCATCTCCCTTCACCCCCGACGACGGCGCCGGCGCCGTCTCCTTTGCCACCAGATATTATACTCCCGTCGTTACCAGCTTCATCTTTATCGACTAAAGTGGAATCTGTTCAGGTTCGAGACATATTACTTAAATCAGAAAATATCAAGAATTATTCCTTTCTTCGTTCTTCATCTTTGCATGTTATTTTAATTTCTTCTTTTCGGCTGTTTTATTTTCTAATAACTCAAAATATTTAATTTTATACCAACACTCATCATAACATTTACGTTTTAAATTTCGTGGTCAAACTACAGTCAACTGTAAAAAAAATAATTAATATACATACTAGTCAACTGTAAACTCTAATTAATATTGAGGATGCGCAAACCTCAGATCAATAAAGCAAATGCCTATAGAGAAATGTTTTCTTGGTATTTGTACGGTCGGGTGGTCTAAATATGAACTAATTAATCAACAACACATGTCAATTTATTTTGGTTTTTTTTTAAAAGTAGTTCAAATTATTAATATGGGATAACTATTGTTGAACAGGGTAATTATAATCGGACCGTTCGATTGAATCCGATCAACAATATTACTGTAGCGAGTAATGATAACGTCACGACTACGGCATCATCGGAACCAAAGAAGAGAAGAGTTCTCAGCAATTTAGAGAAGATCGAATTGGAGCTACAAAAAGCTCGAGCCTCTATTAAAGCCGCTTCGATGGACGATCCCGTGGACGACCCGGACTATGTTCCTCTTGGTCCTATGTATTGGAACGCTAAGGTCTTTCATCGGTAAGTTAAATAATTATTTGAGCTCACTAATAAAGAATTTATTTGGATTAAATCAGAGTCTAACGGTTGGGACTAAGAATTTATTGGCTCGTTAAGAATTTATGTTAATTAAATTTAAGTCAAACGGGTTTGGCATTATGAATCATAATTAAGGTCTGGAACTGGTCTTTAATTTATACAATGGCGAAACGTGGCAATGAAGTCCCAATTAAATTTTAATTATGTTCGAGTGGTTTTCTAATTAGTGACTTGCGTAGTAATTGCTGATTTTTTTTTTTTTTTGAAATATAATTGTACTGGTTCTTACGTATAAGTAAGGCTGATTTATAAATTCGTCTTGATCGAGAACATTTTGTTTTTGTGGTGTCACATCTTATATGCGTAACCAGACTAAAGGAATCACATACCTTAATTCTTTTCGGGGCTACATCCGTAAAAGCAAGAGAGTATTATATCATTATTGGCCCATCTTATATGGTTTAGCAAAATAAGGTAACCAATGACGGCATATTTTGAAAATTGACATATAGACCAGAGAAAACATCCTAATCTGTGATTTCGTAATAGTTGTTTTCAGAGTCGGTTTAATACTTTAAATTATAGGAGGCCGAGTATGTGAAATTCAGAGTTTGTTATACATATTTATCCTATTACGTAATATACATGTGCACCAATTGTTTTCATGTGGTCCAAATGTAGAGAATGGCATAGATTTGCTAATTTCGCTTCCTTTATGTGCATGTGCTTACGTTCTTTTTGGGTACCCCGTATTGAAATGCTTAGGAGTTACTTAGAGATGGAGAAACAGTTCAAGATATATGTGTACAAAGAAGGCGAGCCACCACTGTTCCATGACGGTCCATGTAAAAGCATCTACTCCATGGAAGGAAGTTTCATCTACGAGATGGAAACCGATACTCGTTTCCGGACCAATAATCCCGACAAGGCCCATGCTTTTTACTTACCCTTTAGTGTCGTCAAGATGGTAAGATATGTGTATGAACGCAACTCTCGTGATTTTGGCCCCATCCGAAATACAGTTAGGGATTACATCAATCTCGTGGGTGATAAATACCCTTATTGGAACCGTAGCATTGGAGCCGATCACTTCATACTTTCTTGCCATGACTGGGTATGCTAACAATATATTTTCCCCACTACTAGCTACGCTTGTATCTTCCTGTTAGCTAGTTATGTTATATTTCTTGATTTTGTTTTTGTATATATAGGGTCCTGAGGCAAGTTTCTCTCATCCACATCTAGGACATAATTCTATTCGAGCTTTATGCAATGCCAACACGTCAGAGAGATTCAAACCACGAAAAGATGTGTCAATACCCGAGATTAATCTACGGACAGGATCCTTAAAAGGATTAGTCGGTGGTCCGTCACCTTCCAGCCGTCCAATACTAGCCTTCTTTGCAGGGGGTGTACACGGACCAGTAAGGCCAGTCTTGCTCGATCATTGGGAGGACAAAGATAATGACATTAGAGTCCACAAGTATCTCCCTAGAGGAACGTCTTATTCGGACATGATGCGGAACAGCAAGTTCTGTATTTGTCCCAGCGGTTATGAGGTTGCGAGCCCGAGGATCGTGGAGGCACTTTACTCGGGCTGCGTCCCCGTTCTGATAAACTCAGGCTACGTTCCTCCGTTCAGCGATGTATTGAATTGGAAATCGTTTTCGGTGATCGTTTCGGTGGAAGACATACCTAATTTGAAGACGATATTGACGTCGATATCGCCTAGACAGTACCTAAGGATGTACAGGAGAGTGTTGAAGGTAAGGCGACACTTTGAAGTGAATTCTCCGGCGAAGAGGTTTGATGTGTTTCATATGATTCTTCATTCGATTTGGGTAAGGAGATTGAATGTGAGGATCCGTGAGGTCTAAGTTTGGGGTTTTTGGGTTTTGTCGGGTTTTTTTTTTTCGAGTGGTTGTTATATCGAAATAACTGAAAACTACGAAGGGATTTTTCTTGTAAATTATTATATTTGTTTTTTTCACGTGTCAAATAATATTCGAGTGTTTATGTCAAATAATATTCGAGTGTTTAAAAAATATAAAAATATTTTGTAATTGTAATACACGAATAATTATATTCGCATGGTTTTTTTTTTTTTTTAAATCTCAAGTATATAAATCTCTCTATTATAACCTTCTCTGCCTCTGCAGCTATAATTGCTCTGTGAAGTATTATTTTTATCATCCATTTATTCTTGGGATTCACGTTTTGCGTCTGAATTTCAATTTAATCTGAGACAGTAGTACGTCTGGTCGTAGAACTTGTTTGATCGGAAAGCTCCCATGTTTGCCTATTATTGTTGTTACGATCATCATAACAAGTTGGTTTTGTTTTTATACTCTTTTAAGTTATTTACTCCAAACTCACAAGTTTTCAGTTTCTTGGCATGGAAGCTATTCAACAAACTAGACATGTTGCTGGCGTCCAAAACATTCTTAAGTTACACAAAAACGTTACAATACTTAAGATAGAAATTAATCATACAATGAGCAAAAGCTTGATCACAGTCTTAACATTACTCAAATCTAAAAGTACAAAGTCTAGAGCTTTATATAATTAAGAGTACTCTCTCTCTCTCTCACCAAGATCAGCAACAACGTAACTACCACGGGTTAGGCGGCTGCGATATCGGTGGCCAGCGCACGTGAGAAGAGCCAACCATCATGGGATTAATGTATCCACCAATACCGTTAGCTTGATCTCCTCTGGCGATTTGGTTGCTGTTCATCATCAAACCCTGATCTCTTAGTATTATAGCTCTCAGCCTCTTCACCTGCATCACATATCAACTTGTTTTAAGGGGTCTCTTTGAAACAAGCAAATTAATATTATATTTTGTTAATTGAGACTCCATATGAATAGTGCCTAGACCTCATCGTGTAGCATCTGCTTCTCTCTCCAAACAGCATCGTACTCTTGCCTAAGCGAGTCGTATGACTCTTCGAGATGCTTCACCTTCCAGCGCGCACGGCGGTTCTGAAACCAAACCGCTGTCTGACGTGGATGCAGACCAAGCTCCTTCGACAGCTTTAGTTTCCTGTCTGAATCTAGTTTGATATCTTCTTGGAAACTTACTTCAAGTGAAGCTAACTGTTCACTCGTTAGCCTCTTCTTCTTCTTGTTTATCATCTCGTTGTTGTTACTCGGATCACACTGGTACGTATTGATCATCTTTTCTGATTCCGGTACAGCGATAACCGGCCCGGTTTGCGTATACGAATTCCCTGATATATAAAACAATTCAGTAGAAAAAAGATGTTAAAAGAAAAAAACATAAGAAGCGACAAAACGCACAACATAAACGAATATCGACGTTTTTGAAAAAGTGATGTCGTTCACAAAATAAAGAAAGACGTAAGAACATCTATTCCACATCTCATCAGAGAAGCGAGACAATCCCAAAGGCTTCTAGACTGACGTCTAGAAAATATAGGTTTTGTATGACAACGACAAAATCTAGCTAGTTGTATTAAATGATCTTGACAGGTTCATGTCGTATGCGGTAGTGTATTGCAATTTTGCTATTTCATAATTTACAAGAATTTCGAACACATGAAAGTGGGGAAAAAGGTTATATAAAATAAATACTTTGTATTTTAAATGAACCAAAAAAATGTGACTGCAGCGTTGCCTTGTTTGTTACGTACAGAAAATCCCAAATTGGTTTACAAAAAAAAAAAAAAAAAAAAAAAATCCCAAATTGAAGATAACTCAAGGTAATGCATTTGAACCTAAAAGAGGATGCATGTACTAATTAAATTCTCTTCTATATAGATTTGTTGTGACAAAAAGCAATGTTCATGAATTTTGTTTATTAAACTATATATAGCACTTTACACATCTACATGTTCTTATAAGACTTTTATAGTTCTTAGATTTGTCGTGAAGAAAACAAAGTTTATGGGTTTGTAAACCGTAAAATTAAACCGACACTACACAGTCTACACATATATCCGTACATAGTTTTTATAAGCCTTTTTATAGTTAAACCAACAAACTTTGTTGTGACGTAAACAAAATCACGGATATGGATATGTAAACCGAGAAATTAAACCGACACTTACACATCTGTAGGTGTGTTTACATTATATAGACCTACATTTTGGTAAAAATGGATAAAGAACCTTTAACACATTACAATCACAACGCGACAAAAAGATATGACCATGACTAAATAAACGAAATTGTTTTGGTATATATATGTGTGTGTGTGTGTGCATATGTATACCTGCAGAAGGATCATAGCTGAAGCTGTGGAGCCAGCAGTTAGACTCCAACCGTGGCGGTGGCATGAAAGCAACTCTCTCATTTTGCACATTGCTCGTCGGTGTTGGCCATTCCATTATTTATTTCCTTAAATAAGAACACATAAGAGAGAGGATTTAAAAGGAAGAAAATTTAGGGTTTATAAAATAACGAAGAAATTAAAAATAGAAACTTAGGGTTTTGTTGGACTATACGAGCTGTAGAGGCGTTTCCTCAATACGAGCGGTCTTTCGGAGGTGCAGCAACAAAGTGTGAGAGCATGAAGTAAACAGGAGATAAGAATATATATAGGGAGATATATAGATATAGGTCCGTCTAGAGGTGTAGATAGAGATACTGAAAGAGAAAGAGACACAAATAGGGTAAAAATGTGATATTTTGTCTCACCCCGATGACAAAAAAAAAAAAAGAAAAAAAAATCTCACCTGACGTCATCGTTTCATCATCATCTTAGCATTTAGGTAAGTTGATATATATGTTGAATCTAACGGTCAAACTTGGATTCTTTATGTTTTGTTTTCTTAACGGTCGGCTGAGGGAAAATGGTTTAAACGTAGTTTTTTTTTTTTTTTTTTTTTTTTTTGCTCAACTTCAACTATTCATTATCCAAAGGATTACATCCAAATTCGAGGTACAAAACATTCACCTCTATAGAATTTGACCAAATGCAATGGTTTGATCTAGTATCACCCTGAAACACTAGCGGATCCAACGCTACCTGATCGAGCAACCATTGCATTTTAAAACCACAATGAGATAGAAAACACTCCACAACTCAGAGTGAAATCATCTATTAAACCACCTAAATTAAACCTATGACACGAAAACAACTACTTACACAAAGAACACCATCATCTATGCTGAAGTACAGAGCAATCCCAAACTATTAGGCCCTCATGATCTGAGTGTAAAATTGTCCCAATAGCTTCACCACCCAAAGGTGCATCATAGAAGACCTTGGTTTCCTTGAATTTCGTTATTTCGGTCTTAAAAACCACACACGGATAACACATCCGACTGAACCGACAAGAGACGCGAAACAAACTAGCATGTCCAGAGACTTCTCCAAAATAACCAAGCAGAACCAGAATACTAATAGCCTGAGATAAGGAAGTGGAGCACATATTAGTATATCCTCACCTCACAGTGCATTTTTGGATTGGCCACATCGCAGCTGCCTTGTTGACTCGTTCTCAATCCGGACTGAACCAGAGAATTGAGGAGGCGTTCGAGAGAGCTGGCTTTGAGGATAACCTCAAATCTCGGTCACCGTCAGACCCGTAACCTTCCCCAACAACCGGTGGACTCAAAGACTCGACTCAACCGCTTAAACCCGACCATTTAGGATCTCCGGCGGAAGGGACAGGGGAAGCAGCAGATCGCATCCCAACTATCCAGATCCGTCACCCTGAGCTGCATAGAAGACCGGATGAAACAGCTTCGAAACTCGCCACCAGATTCACGGAGGAGAAGCGAGCCGAGATCTCTCTCCATGGTGAACCACTCCTCAGCACGGTCGGAGAAGAAGAGATCGAGTCAACCTACTATAAAAACCAAAAACAAAAGCTGAAAAGTAAAAGCAGAGCCCTCTCACACCACCGGCGAAAGCCTTAGGCGGCGGAGAGGCAGCAAATCTCAGCTCAAAGGGGACGGTGGCGGCTAGGGTTTTCCTTCACCGCTTTGTAGTTTGTACAAAAGGTAACGTGGTTTAAACGTAGTTTAGGGGTAGGTGTGATTGTGGTTACTAGAATTTGCAATTGTAACATTTGACGTACGCCAAAAGAAGATATGATTCTTGATTTATTCAATTGGTTTATCCGTACATACGATTGAAACCTGAGACTGGTTTAGTTAGAATTAATAATGATTGGTTTAACATGTAAGTATTAAGAACTAATTGGCAAGGCCATGGGCATTGGAAGGACGTATTTGGTCCCAATTTTTTTTTTTTTTTTCTCTTTTTTACAACTAAAAAAAAAAAAAATTAGACGACCAATCGCGGGCCGCCACATGGCAGTGGGGCCCGTGAAGAAGGCAAGGACTGTCGTCCGTGGACGTACGTCCCGCCTTTTAATTTTTTTTTGATTTTTTTTTCTTTTGGATTGAGGGACAGGGGCAAGGACTCCCAATGTCCTTGTCCTAAGAGCTTAATTGGTAAAAATTTATGGTAAAAGTTTAAAGATACGGTTCGAGCAGCGCTTAAAACAAGATAATATAACATGCTCTGATCTTGAATCTGAGGAAATGTATGATTTAGAATCTCTTAGTTATTTATTAAAAAAAAAAAAACTTATGTTAAGTTAAGAATGTAAAAAGTAAAAACCCACAATAAACACTATGATGAGTATGAGTATTATTAATTAGAATAGTACTTATACATCAAAACGATCAAACATTTTGAGCGTACACATGTATTATTTTTTATTGAAAACTTTATGAAAATGTTACTAGTCTTACATATATTTAAACTACAAAATATATAGATAAAACAGAAAAGCTCTTTAAAAGTCCACGTATTTAGGCTTTCTATATACACACACAATTCTTATTATTTTTTAAAGATACACGAACAAAGAATTAAATTAGTCTTGTTAAGCCCTGTTCGTTTCTCCATTTTGCATATTCATCCAGATGATCCATTCAAATAATCTATGTGGATGATTCATCTCTTCTCCAAATGATGAAACGAACAAGATATTAAATGATTCATCTGGATGATTTATCTGGATGGAGATGTGTTTGTTTCTCCATTTTGCATATCCATCCAGATAGATTTGATTTTAAAAATGACTAAACTACCCATGTATTGATTTAATAACTTTCTCATATTAATATTAATCATAGTATTTTTAAATATTGATTAAAAATATATATACACTTAGAAAGTTTACAAATTAATATTTTTGACATTTCTAAATATTTATTTTCATGAAATCTATTTTTTTTTTTAAATTACAACAATCTATATCATTTAGGAATATAACAACATCAATAATTCAATAGCAAACAAAAACTACAAAATCTCAATTTAAATACTAAATGTAACTCCAAAATACTTTTACAATGTAGATCTCTCAAACTAAAATGTCCACAATATTAAAACATGAAAAAGATAAATTCAAAAGAAATCTTCAATCTCATGTCATCTCAATATGGAAGTCTAGTTCCTTCTGCCATCTCAGTAGTGATAGAATCTCGCATAGCTTCCATCACTCTATCACCAGTAGGTACGTATGGAACATGTTCATGTCCATAGTTTTCATCACCATGTTGTTCATAGGATTCCACCACTTCCCAGTGAACAAAATCTCTGTCTTCCTCTTGTGAATCTCTGATAAAATTATGGAGAGCCATTGTTGCTGTCACAATCTTAATCCATTTCTTCAACTTGTACTTAGGATGCTTCCTATCAAGAATTCTCCATTTGGCTTTCCAGACACCAAACGTCCGCTCAATTATTGATCTCAGACCGGAATGCTTACGGTTAAACAGTTCCCGACTGTTTGTCGGTGGTCCTCCTCTGTTGAACTGATCTAAATGATATCTAGTTCTGCGATGAGGTCCTAGATAACCACTTCTGGATGGATAACCTGAGTCCACTAAGTAATATTTTCCTAAAGGCGGATGGGGAAAAGAAGCTTCTTTTATAGCACAATGTGTTAGCACTTTAGTGTCATGGGCTCTCCCGGGAACTCCGACATAAGCATAAGTAAACTTCATGCTAAAATTGCATATGGCAAGTACAGCAATGT